GAACTGAATCGCAACTCCTCAATGAATTATTTGCATAAACGTGAGTACACACTGGATTGGGATGACGTAGTAATGTAGTGGCATTTTTGATGTCCTAATGAATCATTTTACTAAATCTCCCTCCGTTACCGCATTCGAATATTGTATGCTTAACGCAGTCTAGCAGTAGACCCTTGAGAGTTGTATAGGGAAGTAAAAAAGGCCCTTACAGCAGCTCACATGAAATTGAGTTTGTTCACATTGACTTTGGTCAAGCCCTTTTTGTTAACTTATTTAACGAACAGTAGCTCGTTCAATAACAGCTTATCAATATTATTGTTACGCTTGTATAAATATGTATGCCTGAGCATTTCTTACCGCCTACGCATATATTCGCTTTGCTAGCCTAAATATTAATTGCTGAATTGATTCGATTATTCCTTCATTTGACTATGTATATATATGCACATTTTATTCATGTTCATTGTACTTGCCTACTCGTATTCGTCGACTCGCTTGCCCGCTAGAATTTCGATACTACTCTTTCATGCTTGCTTAACATACCTGTACATTAGATATCTGTGTGTGGTGCCATAATAAACGTAACCAATACTTCGTATTCGCCTTCTGATCTAATGACGGCTATCAAGACGAACCGCACACAAAGTTTAAAGATTATATAGAATACCGACCACCACACTTTTCTGGTAAAGCCCGAGTTTTTAGTAAGCTATAGGCTTTCTTTCCGAATAATGTAAGGAAATGTACCACAATATTAACATCTTCCTTGATCATAGCCCAAATTCTGAACGTTTCCATGTAATCATCAAAAGCATGGAAATCTGAATGCATGTCCAACCATTCCATCAGAGGCTCCATCGCAACGCCAATGTGATAATTAGGAGTATTTGAATTATAGTACAAACTAAGAATCCCAGAAACAACTCAATCGGATCAAGAAGTACGAAATAAACACAAACGAATGTACTATATTTGGAATTCGAAATCAAGCATTCGACAAGTACAAAGGAATCATTAGTTCATTCAAACACGCTTTCCCAGAAAACTGATTCCTAATTTCGATCTTGCAATCTACTGAAATTAGCGCATTCAGAAAAAGACTGAATCAAGAATCTTGATTGTGGAATCTATAAATTTTTCATAAATAATCTGAGGTCGTTAATGAAGATTCACTCGAACAAATTATTGTGAAACTTCACATTAAAATACCCGGTTAATCATGCAAAGTAAAACTTACAATCTAGAACTACAACTGTTTTCCCCCAAACAAGAAAGCTAATAAAATACCTTGGAGGTATTCAAATACAGTCGTACTAAAACAATACAGTAGCTAGCCTTCATGTTATCAGTGGGGCTGTTGGCTCTCTCACTTAACGCCAGTGATAAAATCCCAACATTTAAGTTTATGCAATTATTAGGAAACATTTCTACACTGACTGATTACTGGGTTGCAATCGACATTGTATTTGCCTTGTGTTTAGTGCTAATATACTTCCATCAATCAAAGTACAATGCCACTATGATTCCGACCAACTCAACATCATATGTTATTATTCGATGCCCCAACCTTACAGGTGGTCAGTTACCGACCAAATAGCTTAGTAGTGGCATCTCAAAGTTAAATATTGGATGACGTGGGTTTGAACCCAACAGAAGGGTCAGTTATCTTAAGATCGCAGGTAAGCTTGATGACCACAAAACATATACCCAAACGTCCTCCAGATTATCTGAAGTCACCTATTACTGAATGAAAAGTTGTCTATGAGGGCAACTTATAGTGGAACTATTTTTGATCCTATCAATCTCTCAGCTTTATACAAAAAGCAATATTATTTTTTTCTCCAGCTACCTTTAAGCAGACTATGGTTTCTTAATTAAACATATTTCTTACAATCAGTGGTAGATAATCTTCGAGTGACGGATCTATGGTCCATTCGATTGAAGTAAGCACCCACTGTCACGAGAATTGTTGTAACAGGTGGACCGCAGGTTTTGATAAGCAGCGTTTATATTTTCGATTACAGTGGCACGTAAAACACGTAAGGACGACCTAGAGTCCCGATTGTTCCCACTTCCCCGTCTAGCCCAGCCAGTTGAGTCTAGAACGCAAGTCACAGTCTCTGAGTTATGAATCATTATATTTCAGACATACTCTATTTATATACTAACCAAACAGACCACATCGTACCATAAAAATAGAAAACAACATCTGTACAATATTTAACGAGTGAAATAAATAACGGCCGATAGGAAATGTTCATTTAACGTCCAAGGACATCATTAGACTTAACATGATAATGATTGGCACATTATTCCTCAGCATCCATAACAAGAATGAAACCACTTCCACACGATAGTGTATTTATGCTAACTGTTTCTTTATCTTAATGCTTTAAATGTGCGAACTCGACAGATCTTCATTAAAAAGGGACACTATCTCTGTGCTCTTAAATTTGTATCCAGTGGTGCCTTCTTTTACATCAACTGACAGATTGAAGACGTCTATAAGTTTATATGGAATTGTGCTAGTGTGACAAGCAGTACACTAAAAACTGTGTAACGTTAACCGTCCTTACAGCTCGTAATTTAAGAAAATCACTCCTGAGTGTAACCATCATCTTTTGCCATTGGACTGTCAATGATGAATAATTTAGTGAATGAGTGACAAAATTCTTTAGATTTTAACGAACGAAAATGAGACGAGTCGTGAGACCTGTGAAGTATGGTAACTTGTGTCAGCAAAAATCTCTAAAAACATTATGCTGCTCTGGAATGTGACACAGAATAATTTCCGGTCATTCTGAGGTTTCGATAAGAACAAGCCAAATTTCGTTGATCTGATTAGTAAAATCAATGCGTCACATGAAAACATTAAGGTGAATAACTTCATTTGATGGTTTTCAGACTTGGTCTTAATTCGACCAACCTATGCAAATTATATTTCAAAATCGTTTACTTTTTAAAAAAATATTCGATCATATTAAGTTATCACTTTAGTTACTTATTTATTTTAACACATAGATATTGGTACAAGGAGGTACCAAGTACATATGCGCCACACAAATCTCATTCGATGTGTGAAGGCTGTGGTACTGCCCAGGTGCCCAAACCGAAGCAGGTGGTTTTGTTAGGGGGCCACTCCCTGAGCCTTCGACCTGAAGGTCTGATCCACAAGGCAGTGTAGCATCATGAGGAGATGCAGTCCCATAGAAGTCGGTGACCAACGATTGATTCATACACCATTTGTTCCCGCAGGATACAGGAGCCCATGTGCACCAGTGGTTTGGAATCCGGTTAAAGCGCCGGACATTCGTTGGCAGAGGCTATATACACGTGACCATGTAAGGGCGTTTCGAGAGGGAGAGCGGACTCTCCCCACTCTCGGCCGTACCAGGGCATTCGGAGGCTGTTACTTTACTAGTAAATTAATCAATGTCGCTCACTAAATTTGTTATGTTTGTCCTTGATTCAAATGAAAACTTGGATCAATTAATGTCTCTTGACCAGTTATGACAATCGTATAACGATATCGTCAATCATGTTATCATTTTTATATATAAAATCCTTTGCATGGTAAATCCAAAAACATCTTTATATAACAGTGAAACATGGATAAAAATCGTTTGCGTCGAACGAGCAGAAATGATTATTCCTCCAGAAAATATATTTACAGTTCAAATTAGTCGGAAAACTTGATATTATTTTTGACAGTGATCCAAAACCTGAGTGTAGTTAACCAGCTATTAAAACAGATTCCACTGAGGTTCGAAAAGATCTATTAAAGATGAAAATCACCGTTTAAGTGCAGTGATATCAAAGTGATGCAATAAAATTAACAGAAAACCTAATGTTCTTAAAATTATTTGACTTGGAATTTAGAACCTGTATTTTTCACTGACTGCCTACACAAATCATAGTTAAATATGATTGATACAATTTTGTCTATATTAATATATAGATAAACATCAGAACTAAGATAACCTTGCAAAATGCATTTGAACCAAACAGTGGACACTTAGATTTCCATATAAATAGAAATTACACTTATCCGACCTAATACCGTATGGAAGATGGACTCTACTGACCTAATCGAGGACTAAAATATCAGTTTGTACAAACTACGAAATTAGTTCCTTATCTTTCCTAAATATGTGATCGTTCATAAGTTTCTCTGAAGTCAATAGGATGAGAATCGATCGAGAAAATAAGCATATAACTCATCAACCACTGGGAATTTTGAAGTGAGCGATGGCCAATAACTATTTAGAACAGGAATCCCAGAATGTGGTGTAATCAGATCATTTGCTTAACAAATTAGTGTCGTAACATCATGAAGTTCATACACGTTATGATGGCATGAAATACATCTAGAATGAAATAAATAATGTCTTAACTCATTTCATCAACAATGGACTGAAGTAAACGAGTTGGACACCACTTATTTGTCTTCGCTTCACCACTAACATTTCAGACTCGGTAGCGACGTTAAGTTAGATAAATTAGTCGAGTTAATAAATCCCGATATCAATCTAGTTACTCCTTTTTAGTATTTTGATGTTTCTCTAACTTTTAATAAAATTTCACTAGTGAGAATTAATTCTTCAATTCTATTGATTTAATGGAAATAAATACGTGGCTTTATCAGAAAACCCACATATCTATAGTAACCATTCATATAATGTAACGAAAACCAATAAAAACATGTCATAAAAAAACGCTCAGTTTTTACATATCAACGACAATAAGTCAGACTTGTAGCTATAGGTCAGTAGTAAGTAGACTTAATCATACATTTTCACACTACACCGACTAAAAAATTCGAACATAAGTGGTAATATCACTATCACTACAAGATGCAATTCAGTGATTCATCTAATGACCACTACAATGTATTCTGCATCGAAAGTGGCAAACAATAAAAATGTAATCCTATTTCATTTCAAACCTATGATAACTTCCTATAATTATGGACAAAAAAACAATCATGAACATGCCTGTTTCGTCTCACATAAATTTTGTTATTTTTCAATAATTTTTATCATGGTTAAAGAAACAAAGTTCATGCTGCACAGTAGAATGTAAACTGGACATGAAAAATAAGAAACAGGAAAAGAAGATAACTAGCCAACCATTGAGATACTCTTAAACGTATGAACAAAAAAGATGAGTTGGAAAAGTGTGCATAAGTCGTAAATACAAAACAAAGACCACAATTTTAGTATCGACTACAAAGCGTTAAGCAACACATTTAAAAAGGGGAAGGTAGGAACAAAACCATAAAAAAGAATAACAAGAAAACGCAACGACTAGACCATAATACTTAGTTCGGAAAACAAAAGAAATAGCATAAGTCATATGAAGATATTAAAGAAAGGGATTAGAAGGGTCTAGAAGACAAATCTTAGAAGAGAGACAAACCATTTAAAGCAGATTCTGCTGTTATGTTAACCGATTAGGATATAATAAAGCAAAAAATATATCAAGAGTTGTAATAGTAAAGTAACAATAAAATTTGGGTACATAAACTCCAGAAAAAAGGTCAAACTCTCTGAAGGTTATCAAAATGCAAAGTTGGGTCCCCGTAAGACGAATCACGAGTTTCGAAAAGCTCTTAAACAGTTAATAAAACTTAGTTTTCTTTCCACACTGCTGTCCGGATAAAAATTAATAACGGAAATACAGCAAAATAAGGTTTTTTGATGTAAACATACGATAAGACAAAAAAATTCAGTTCTTATAATGTCTGATCGCTACTACATCGTAGATGAATTTGAGATGGCATCTGAATGCGAAACTGATGGAGACATCATAGGAAACCTTAAGGTATCAGTATTTTGTGAATCTAAACACACTTGTCTACTCTGTAAACCTGTTGAAGTTAAATTTGACAAGATAGAACTATTGCAGTTAGAACTATTTAAATTTGAGTGGATGAAAGTACCGGCTGGTGATGATGACCCAACGGGACCAAATGTAGTGAAATCAAAAGAGTTGGGCTTATCATCAGTGGAATTTCTCATCCCGAATTGAAAACAACTAGGTTCATTAGATGTCATGAATATTGAATGTGGGTTGAGATTAGTAAAGCTGTCACATACTGAACTATTAAAATTCAAACTACTGTACGATTGAGATGATAGTTCTTCCTGGTGACCAACTGTATGCACTGGATCTGTGGAATATGAGTCGGCTACAATCCGAGGACTATATGAACTAACTGCAGTTGGGGTTGTTGACATGGACTCAGTGACACAAACTGACGAATTTGCAACCACTTCTAAAGATGGCAATGATAATGTTCCATTAATAGAGTGTGAATAATGCAAAACACTAGAAGCAACATCACCCTGTAAGAGGCCGGGAGGTGGAACAAACAAAGGCGGGGGTGACGAAGCTTGGGCTGAATTCCCGACAGTCATTGGTCTGGTACTACACAACGGCATAGATCTGGTTGGTAAAACTCTATTTAAAACAGCATTATCATATGACGTGTATCCTCCATTCATACATTTCATACCAAGGGTTTCGAAATGACTGAGATGAAAGGCGTTTGAATTAGGTAGTTTATCCGGACGAAAATGCATTCTATTATTTATGTGACAATGGTCATTTAGACTTGTTTGATAACCTAGTCCAGTATTGGTTAGTGACGACGACGACGGAATAACCTCTTCCGACGAAGTAAGATGACCGAAATAGTCCAAATTATTAAGATTAGTGGAATTATTTATTTCAGAAATTCCATGAAATTTTCTATCAGTAACAGGAAAGGGGGATGTGAAGAAAGGCTTTGATTTGGCACAAGGATCAACAAAATAAATGCTTGACTTTTGATTTGATAGATTATTCGATGGCGCAGATGTTTCATATGGAGTCAAGGAGTAGGACTGATTATAAGAATTCATTCTGTTTGTCGACCCAGTTTTAGAAACAATTCTGTCTATATGGTTGTGCTCATCCATTTGTGTTTTGTTAAAGTTTGTGTACATCTGTGAAGTATCTGTGACAGAATATGAGTTAATTACACATTCTTCGTTAGGAATGCCATCCAAAGGGATTGAGATGTTTGAAACTTTAGCAGAATTCGATGTTGAAGCATTCATTCTGCTTACATACTCACAGAGATTTGGAGTAAGGCAATTTAAGCGCTTGTTAAGTTCGACGATTTGGTACTCCTTCTTTGTAAGTGTAGCTGGAAGAGTAGTTAATTTTTTTTAAAAAAAAGCTTGATAATTTTAACCAACAAAAACAAATTGATACTAAAAAATATATATGCAGTCCCATGGTAGCTGGCGACAAAATATGGGTTCGTACGCCATTTTCCCTCAGGATACTGGAGCCCATGTGCTTCACTGGTTTGGAATCAGGTTTTCCAACATCCATAGGTGGACCCTCTGTGTACACCAACCCGGTTAAAGCGCTGGACATTCGCTTTTCATCCTCTCAGTTTCGTAGACAACACCCCTGTCGCGAGAAGGCAATGAGCAAGACTTCCTTGATAGTGGCTGTGTACGCGTGGCCGTTTGAGAGCATTTCGAGAGGGAGAACTGGTTGTCTCAACCCTCGGCCGTACCACGGCATTGGGATGGATGGTAAGTGAATAATAATCGGATAGAAAAATTATGGACCAGATTCGCGTTGATATAGTTCTCATCTAGTGAGTGATTTAGGGGACAAACAAGCAGGCTCCATGACACAACATGTTCATCTTTTCGACTAATTATATCTAAGAAAGGTAACAGGTTATTATTCTTTTCTTAGCATGAAAGTATAACGTAACTTTAAAGATACTGAGTTTCCTTAACAAACAATTTCGACCTTTATTATTGCTACATGTGACTACTGTGTCATCTACATACGCCTTGTACATAGTAATTTTCGGCTAAATCGGAACGTATTACGCTCGTGTATCACACAGTTACAACAAACCTCATTTGCTCATTCTATTATACAAATTTGTCAAACGGAGTGTCCTAGAGTTTTAAAACACATTGCTAAATTATAACTTTCCTTTAAACAAGTCAACTCAGATCAATAGTTGGAGACTAGACTAATAAACTGAAGAAGTCAAGTCACAAGACGTAATAAGGTTGAACGATGCAAGTGTGAGTGAGCTATGATGATTATTTTGTATATTCACATGACTAAGGATTATTAACTACAATATTTCTTACCTGCATCAATCCAATTACCTGGAAATATGTATGAGTTGTAAATGTCATCGCTTAATGATGGGGTTTCGCCTATAATGATCTTGCATTCCTGTACACTTAGTTTAATATTGAGACTTATATGTGCACCATAGGAGCTAAATAAGACCACAGACCAGACCTTATGAATATTTACAGTATTACATTAAAATCAAAAATAATCAGTTACATGATGACAAAAGGCAAATAATAAAGCAACTGAAACAAACCATTTAATTCTGTTATCTCTTTGAGGGAAGAATGGTAAGCCGTCATAAGCTCCTGTTTCATTTTGTCTTCCTCTTTTAAGGTGTCTGTCAGACGTTGATTTTCTTCTTGCAAAGAGTTTACACGAGAGGCAAGATCACTTAATTCAGTCTCAGTTATTTCATGCTTTTGCCGCCGTTTGCTCATATTGTAGTTTTGTTCCACAGAATTAGATTGTTTTGTTTGTTCATTTTTATTTTGCTTCTTCCATGTCTTATCATTGGATTCACCTAGTCCACCATGTGAAAAACGTTCAGAGTTCAGTGCTGTAAGTTGGTTATTTTTAATAGTTAAAGCTTTTGTAAGATTTTGCAATTCTAATTCTAGTTCCTGCCTTCGTTTTGCGCATAATTCATTGTTTTTACATGCTTCAACGCATATGGGATCACAGGAACTTAATGAAGTACTTCGAGATTCAGTCATTGAAGCTCTGAAAAAGGAAAAATATTTATAGAGATGAGAAAAGACAGTAAAAGTCAAACAAATTTAAGTGATAGGTCATAAACTAATAATTTCATAATAACTCATGAAATCTTGGCAGATATCATGATCATTGCAGCCTTAGTCAAACGGTCAACGGAATCATGTGACGATATGAAACTAGACAAAAATCAACTATATATATATATATATATATATATATATATATATATATATATATATATATATATATATATATATATATATATATATATATATATATAAAATCATGGACAAACGATATGCTGAACAACTTAAAAACATTCTAGCCAAAGGAACCCTGAAAATATACTTCCTGAATCCTAATAACCAGACTCTAAATATTAAAATACGAATTCTTCGGAGTTTGATGTGCATTTTACTGTAAATTTATACCTAGTTGAACATTCATTTAAAATTTTATGAGTTGTTTAGAGTTGGGTCTATTATGGAGATACCTAAAGACATCCGTTAGAAATGTTGAATTACGACGATAATATATTTTAATTGTCTGATAAGTAACGAGTAATTTAATGGTGAGTAATCACTCCGTGTGAGGATAACACACTATGGTGTACGAATACAATCCTTCATTTAAAAAAGTAAATATATCTCCCTAAGTTTTATTAACCTCAACTATTTTTATACAAACTAATTAATTACACGTAGTAATTGTCGAGACAAAAGCACTAATTATTGAGGAAGGTATAGATTAAATAAAACCTTACTTACTTGGAATCTGTGGTTTTAGAAATAACTGGTTCGTTAGATGTTGATTCTGAGGAGCTTGCTTCTATTTGTTTACCAGATTGCTGTTTGAACTGCTGTTCGAGAAGCAAACGATATTTACGCTCTTCAGTGAGACGTTTCTCAGCTGCCTGTAGACTGGCACGATCCGCCTGTAACACGAAACTCAGTAGCACAACTTAGTGTATAAATGATTTAAAAGATACAAGGCTAGTCAAAGTATGTAATATTAAGTTGGAAAAGAACTACATGACTACGTATACAATCAGAAGAGTCTTAGTTTTAGGTGACCCTGAACTGAACAATTGGTGATTAGGATTTAGAAAAAATGGAGGATAAATTTCACTAAAAACTGTGAAATCCAGCAGAATAGATCAAACTCAGATGAATTTCCTGTTTCCAAAATTAAATTAGGTGGGCATTGCTAGAATACTTTGAAGATTTTGACTAACAGTAAATGTTTAGGTCAATATTCCTCCAACAATCACTAGTTTTTGCAAAACACAAAGTTAGAGCAGATATCGAAACATCAGTAGATATAGTGACCAGAGATGGGTTTATAGTTGTAAAGAGTTATACTTAGTGAATTTGCAAATTTAAGTAGGAAGAAAATACTTTTAGTTTTCATGCAGATTTGAAATTGACAAGATTCATTTTTATACCAGATTTTTTAATGACATCATGGAGAAGTCTCATGCATCATATACATAAAATAAATAATCATCCTTAACAATCCATTCAAGTGATTCAATAATATGAAAAAATCCATTTCTGATGTAGTAGTGGGGGATTTGGTGTTCATATTTATGGTGAGATAACGATGATAAAAGATCAATCGCCAATGACTCAAGCTAATTACCTTGGTAAATAGAATAGCTTTCGAAGCATCAGACATATTTGACACATAAATGAGAACGAAAAATGTAAAGACTTAATAGTACTATTGACCTGTAAGCAGTTAAAGTAATGGAGAGGTAATAACAAAAAGGGATCCAGGTACTGCGAACGTTTAGTAGACCAAAGGATGATCTATTCTATTCCAAAAGACTAGGACTAACCAAGGCAGTATAAAACAATGTAATCAAGTGTTAACACATTAAATCTAAGTTAGTTTCCACTAAAGAAACGTGTAGAATAATAATTGCAGGTAGTATTTAATGCATAAATAAAAAGAGTTATTCTGATAGTTTTGTCGCAAGAAGGATTATGTCAGGATTTTTAGTACCTAGCTAGTGATAAGAAAGGCCTCAACCTTAAAAAGAATAATAGGAAAAGTATATCTTACAATAACGTATTATATCGCATATCAATTAGCAAAGTTAAATTAGACTGAGACTAGGTTACTTTAATATTCTTCGTAACCTGATTACTAATTCAAATTACATGAATCGCTAACGTTCTCTTCATATTACAAGACTGTAGACTGTAGAAACGATAATATGCGTTTTAAAGTTATTCATGAGACCTTTTTCTTTGTACTTAATACATAATACAAATTTATAGAGATTGTTAGCATATATCAGAATAAAATACACTTGATATGAAAAAGAAGGAAGTTGATAAATGGAAATGTTAAAATCAATCAAAAAGAAAGGGAGACAACACCCAGTCAGTAGTAATGGAATAATGTGCACATGAAATAATGAAGTCATTTAATGGGTATATACGCACTATCATTATTATTGTGTATGAAAATGTTAAAGAAAGAGAAGGAAGAAACAAGTATTAAAATATACTTATTAAATCATAATTTGTAAAGTGTTCAATCAATAAGAAAAGTGTAACCACTTGTTGAATCAATCTATAAGAAAATGACCTGGATCAGGTGTCTGAGCAATAGTTAACGTTGAAATAAAATAATAGAAAGTAGAGAGAAATTCACGCCTGGGTGTATATGACCTAAAAGATGAAATCAGGTCAAATATGAGAAGTGTAGCAAAATCAAATCTCCAAATATAGACTAAGGCAAAAATGACTGACAGGCAAAAGAAAAACAGTATTAATGTAGTTAAAAAAAACCTAAATTGATTTAGCCAATAAAACACCCACAACGAGAATTAACAAAATAAAATAACCCTGATAATCATATAACCTTGCCAAAATATGGGAACTCGAAGGTGAATAAAAGAATTAAAACACATTTTCGGACTTTTATCAATAATCGAAAAATGATGGAAAAATCAAGATCACTGGCTTCAAGTACAATATTTAAGTATTATGTTGACTCGGTGATTCTATTATAAATGCATACGTATTATATAATCTGTCCCTCTGATCCAACAAATAAATAAATAAAATATCAATAATATTCTTGTAATATGACAGCTGAGATAAATCGATAAACAGGTGATTTATTAAATAAATAAAAATCCGAAATACATAGCGACAGACGATCAGTTACTTTCAGACAGTAGACAATCTGATAGCTGCATACATAGCCAATTTAGGCCGAAAAGATGAGTTTGAGAATATACATAAAAGTAAATGTTTGTGAACCCCGTGAGAAATTAGACAAAAAACAAGATAAACGAATTAGTAAATTGACTAAAAATTACAACAGCGACAGTAATAAAGAGTGGTGGAAACATAACGTATCAAAAGATTAAAGAAATAATGAGATCCTAATAGTGAAGGTTATTACATACCTGAAGGCGTTGAGTCAATTGATTGAGCTTGGCTTGCAAACTTTCAGATTCTTGCTGAGCTTGAGAACTTTCAGAGCGATATGTTCGTTCAGCAGCAAGTAACTGCTGAACTTGACCACGTAACTGAATTTCTGAACTACGTAAAGACTGGATTTCCGATTTTAAATTTCTAGCCTCAGCTTCTAGTCTGTAATTTAGATAATAATCCAAAATGAAGAAAATTGTGAATAGATCATACAAACCTACGAAACAGATATTGAAATAAAAGCAACAACATATTAGTCATAATCGACATGTGAATGTGCTGAACTGACAACTACAACTATAGATCGGAGTTTAGCAACGTTATATGGTTGACCATACAAAGTATATTGAACTGAAGTACGATTAGTGGTTCAGTGATTATCAACTAATCACCAATTTACCACCAAACTATAATAAATAATAAAATACTTTCATCAATAATATTTATACCACTGACAGATTCAAAGTCATAAAAGATGGCCTCGAAATGTCTATGATTATTGTTTGCAAACCTCAGTTGGGAAGGGTAGATCTCCACGGCTTAGACCGCCGGTTAGTGAGTTTTTAAACTTTTATTATGGTCTGGTGAGGATACACTTAATTTTCATCTAACCTGCTTCTATTTTACCGAGTAGACAAAATATGAGGTTGTGGGTGAATAACCAAAGTTTTACACCCCAGTCGATCAAGGTTTTCAGAATCCTCTTTTGTCTAATTATCCACATCCTACAACTTAATTGTTGACTTGGAGGCTTGACCATGAGAGAAGTAATTCAGAAACATTTGTGGTGAAGTACGGGTTGTATGGTTCAAGAGTGGACTCCTGTATAGTATGTTTACTTATTGACAGATAACTGGATATCAAAACCTCGTGCACAAGTGGCTTAATGAAACTGAAATCAAACAGACTGTGTCCATATTGATATTCTATTATCTGTCAAACTAATAGGACAGATAAAACTACCAAGACAAGAGAAGTGATCAAGATGTAAATAAATTTATTTACACTTAGAAATGATGGAGTATTGACCGTCGATTAACTTATTTTGAACATTCGGTTAGTGAAAATTGAACCGATGTTTAAGGGTCTTTTTATGAATTTGCTTTTCTTTTGATTCACCACACCGAAAATTTACGACTTAAATTTGTGATCTAATGTCATGCTTTGTGTTCAATTAATCAGGTAGATAGATAGTTATATCACGACAATAATGAAAGCATCTAAAACCGGTTATTGGTCCTGAATATCGAAGGATGTATTATGTAATCGATGATGTAATTGATGAAATCAATCCCACTATGTAGTAGTGTAGAGAAGGAGAATTCAGGTGGGGCAAACCAATTTATTGTTTTATGCAAAATCGAAGTGGATTACTAAAATGTGAAAATCATGCATTAAATATATTATTTGCAGTTTCTTTGCGTTGCCCTTTACATATTACACTATTCCTTTAATTCCGTTGTTGTTTCGATTACTCTCCGATTTCCTTATTGCTCTCCTCATTTCAATGTTCTGCTGACAGGCATTCCACGTCTGATTGCTGCTACATACTAGCACATACAACAGAAATAGTAATAATAATAATAATAATACGTAGTTTTAACTGTAACAAAATATTCCCTAAGTTTCGCATTGAAAAAACATTAGCAGTGAAACTGAAAAAAAATCTGAATTCGGATGATAATGCAAATACTGGGAACCAGTAATGACCTAAGAAATACAATAATTGGATGAAATAACCACTAATTTTATATATATTGGAAACTTGACAATAACAAAATTTTTATATATATGATATGTGGTGGAGTTAACTTTACAAATGTGAAGACAAAAATGTATCTAGAAAAATATTGCATCAAGTTTTGACGGCGAAATTTATCTTGATGAAGCGATTGGTGGAATGTGATAAACCTGTGAGAATCATTGTCTAGGGATTTGGTATATTTGTAAATTTAATCTGCGTCTACCAAACAACTGGTTCATGGTATTTTACTTGGTTCTAATCGCAAGCTTTTACTTGACTAATTTCGTTTTCTTAATATTTGATACGTCTTTTACTGACCGTAAATTACAACAAATAAGTCAGACTTATTGCTGAGATCTGTATCACAAATGCTCTAGTTATGTATACAATGAGAATTAATATTTATGGTGCGTTGCGTTTGTTATTCTACGTACATAATAACGTGAGTCTTTAAATCAGAATATATGAATATAAGATACAGCTGACTGGTTTTTCTGGTATCCTGGTTGATATCCATTGAGGTCGTTGTGTTGGCTATCGATTGTTAGCATACACAGTGACTGTGTTAGCAGACTCAGTGCTAAAGATCATAGACTGAAGCGACGACAATATTCACAGATTTGTCAGATTACACGATTGATTAATAAATGTGCTAGATTGTTTGAATTCCGAAAAACAATTACAGATAGTTTGTTGCTGGGACTTATATTTTTGACTAGACTTCATATTTCGGCAATTCTGAATAATGACGTGGTCAAGAATTAGTTATAGAACCCTAGACAATTGAGGGATAGCACCTTACATAACTATGGGCTGAGAGACGTAACAGCAGTACAGTGGTATCGCTACTGTCGAGAAGTGTGTTTCAAAGTGGAGAATGAAGCGTCAAAATAGCTGTTCGGAAAAGAAAGTATAATAGAGAGAAGTGTACATGCGGTTTGGGTACGTAGCTTTTTCTTCAAAATAATTGGCAGGTATGCGGAATACAGGACTAAATACCACAAAAAGGTTATTTTCAGTGGGCTTTAAATAATAAAAACAAACCGTTTTACCTATAGTAGGATAGTATGTCTTATCTGGGACGACAGTGTACACAGATGATTAAGGGCCTAAGCACGCCTTCACAAACGAGGCTACATTTATTGAAGGGTCGTCCGTAAACAAACGTTTGTAGACCCGACGACAGGTGTACGCACTAATAATGCAGAAATAAAGTGGTTAAGATTAAAGAACAACCCTTGAACATATAAATGTTCTAAATATACAATGATTTAGAGCTATATGGACAAGTTTTGGTGTAGAATTTATTCTGATTTTTGTTTCATTGAACTCATGGCTAGCATCTACATATTTATTAATCATATTAAAACTCGACATTCACTATAATTTTGCCGTTCTTTTTTTATACAACTTTCATTAACACAACCTGAATTCTAATAAGCTAATGACTGATGGATGTTGGGAAGGTCACTCTCTTTGATTTGTTCGTGGGTGTCAGAATTGCTTAGTCTAATGCTGATATCTGTTAAGTTCTCTTAACTTTTATAAAACACGAAATTGAGCTCTAAATAACAGTAATATTGTGGATGTCAGAAATATTATTCATGTTTAACGTTTTATTAACCATAGTGCAACTTGTGTTAGTGGGAAACAGTTTGAATGAATGGCCATGTCTTAGCCAGTCAGCACTAGCGGATACTTGAAGAAAACACTAGAATATTCTCGTGTAAAATTACTAATATACTACCGTTTTGCTTATTGTGATTCTTGATCCCTCTTATTCTTGTTTATTTGGGACATAAAATTAAGTTCCTGTTCAACCGTGTTCGAAGAATACTAAGCAATCAGAGTGGCTGGACTGTAATGAGGGTTTATAATATTTAGGGATTTAAACACGAGATATATTACGACTGCATCTGACTACTTTAGTTTAGATTTTTAAACTAAGTTGAGGGTTCGTTATTTCCGAACGTTAAAGATTGGTAGGATTGAAGATAAGTGGACGGACTGATTGTCTTCTCAAAGCTGTCACCGAATTCAACTCTTATCAACATTGTTTGGTTTTGATAGCGGTATGTACAGTAGTAGCAGAAAGGCTTTGGATATCCCACATGATCCAGATTCATTAAAATACAATTAGAATTCACTTGTATAAAAATCATGACGTTCTCAAACTCTCGTAGTTGCATTAACTTGGTAACGTGTGATTTAAACGAATACAAGGATCAGAGCTTAATACGTAAATACATGCTTGGTTATTAAGTTCCTTTGCCGTCATATAAGTAACTTATATAAAACAGTATTTCAAGAACCCAATTAAGAATAACAGAAAACTAACTTTAAAGTATACTCATCCTTGTTAGCATTTTTACCGCCTGATTTACAACCAGTTGATAATGAGGTTGAACCGCATGTATTGGATCTACTACTAGCAGCAGCCCCAGAAGAAGCTGAACTTACATTCGAATTATTAGAAAGAGTTGTTTTATTTGAAGCAATATTGATTGATGGAGGTGATTGTTTTGTTTCACAAGATTTTGAATTTGATGGTGTACAGTTTGATTTGGCTCTACTATTATTACTAATTGAATTAGAACAAGTTGAAGTTGATAAACCAGATGTAACTGAAGCAAGTAGTGACGTGGATTTCTTGTGAACTAATTTATCCTCCTTCATATCAGTGTCCCTCTCTATATGATTGTCAGCAGAAACAGTATCCGGAACAACAGAGTTAGGAACAGATGGAACCTTTACAATGATCGTTTGAGCGAGAGAGACGGCCACATACGATTCAGGCTAAGAATGTAGGATAAGAAACAAAACTTTGTGGCGAGAAACTAATAAAAAGACTCAGAAATAACTTAAACAGCTAGAATAAGCCTGTTTTTCCGAATTACGAAGTATTGAGTTTAAATACAAACTCTTTTTTACTATTCGTGCCAAATTAAAACAATTTCCTATGTACGTGAACACCTGTGAAAGGTTACTTCATGTCATAAATGATCGTCATTGCTTTTACAGGAGAATGCAGCTACTACGCAGTTGCCTTAAATAAACTGGACTCTGACACAAAAGTAATTTTTATATTTTACAAACCAGCAATTTGACATTGTTTCTTCATTTTTGACAGAATACATAACATTATAAGGCAATAAACTTAGTTTTTCCTGAACATTATGTGCTACATATCTCCGTGTTAATTTGCTATGAAAACTAGGGACGATGGAGATTCGTCTCAAGTTGTATGACTGACTGATGTTGTTAACTCTTGATTTTGAATTTTTCTATATTCAGTTGTATATGACTGTATGACTGCAAAACTTAAAATGATAAGCAATCGCAGTGGCCTTGTAATTTTTCGCTGAAACGCATAAAACGTGAGATGAGTGAAAGTTATAAGTGAGTACCTACGAAGTAAATTTATGCAACCTAACTGATTACTTGACTAAAAGTAGTCATAAAACAAACTAGTCACAATTCAAGATAGTAACTAGTAAATAGAAATATATGGACTAATCGTCTATTAGAGTACGTTAACGTCATATTTTTCTAATTTGACAGTGATAATCTCACTGAATAAAAGTACATAACTGTTCTCCTTAATATAAATGTAAAATTATATAAAATGTACCTGCTCTGAAAGTGATGATGGTACAGAAGTATGGTTATTCACTGGTTCATCATTTCCTAACCGAAATGTACATTCTTGTGAGACACTACTATCATTTGAACATAAAGAAAGATCCGTACAATTATCACCACGAGTAGATGAATAGACGAGTCGTGTTGTACGGGGATGATTCAGAGACATATTCTTCTTATTAACACTTGAGGCAGGATGAATTTCTTTATCTCTGGAATGAATCGGGTTAACCCTATTTAATTCAGATATATTTCCAGATGAAGTTAAATTTGGCACAGTGGATATGGGAGAAGAAATAGCCAGTGTTGAACAGTTATTTTCACAAACCATATTCGAATGTTTAGATTTAGGAATGGTGTCTTTATCGAAAGAAAAAACAGAAAACATGAGGCACTTCAATATAATGAGGTACTTGAACAATAGATGATATTACGTCCCACCATAGCCTGAACACAAAAAAAACCAAATTATCAATCGAAATCAGAATAAATATGAAATTACATAATGGTACTTAAGTTGACTTGCTATTATACCTATCAACAAATTAACCAAAATTCCTTAGTTCAATAAAGTGGATTTTTAGTGTAGATAAATGACTTTGTTGAAAATATCACTTGAAAATTATGGGTTATGTGACCAAACGAAAGTTCAAAAAAACTAATTTAGACCAAGTTATAAATCCTTAAATCTCTTATTACAATTATTTTGATGCACACAGTCCACCTAATAAAATTAGAACTGCTTATACTGTGGTTCATGGTACTTATATCGACAGACATAAATAGTGTGTAACACCAATCGGAAGTAGCAAACCTGGTAACAAAAGGCTAAGAAGCCAGAGTTGAAGACAAGGGAAAATAGAAAGGAATTGAGAACTTGAATAATCATACAGAATGTGAGAGACAAATGATGAAAATTCGTAGATGAAGTATTCAGTGTATGGTTCTTGTATTTTACCAAGATACTCTGTAATTTTGTATTAAAATACATTCGTTGTCCACACTTGTGTTCTCGTTCACAATAATACCACTAAAGTACATACAACAATAAAGATTGTGATAATATCATGAATTATAATGCAAGGGGAAAAGTTTTTAAAAAAAACACTTCTTAAATTTACAGTGTCATAAGATGAACTTATCATATTTTCACTGCTTCTCATGTGTAGAAACCCAAATTAAATGAGCTGATTTAAAAATTGCTGTCATTGAACAACGTTGTAATATGTACGTGACTAAAAAAAACAATGGTTATGGAACACAGAAAGCTGACTCATAACTACAGCTAACTTGTCATATTTTACTAGTTGGGAAAGTGAAGCATTATACTCTCAAGATTCTAAAGAACATCTAACAGGTTAAGATTAGCAGGTCAATTTGAGTTCTATTACACTACCTTCATAATTCTTAAAATGACTTAAATACATAAACATTCTATCATTTATAGATTCAATACTAAGATGAGTGAAGTTAAACACAGTTAGAATACAGGTCTGATAGTCAAAATCAAGAAGCAGAACCAATTAATGAAATACGCGACTGCTTCTAATACTCAAAAGGTACATCGATGTGGGTTTATCAATCACTGGTGGTCGTTAATTAATTTCCAGGTCTTTAATATTGTTTAACTCATTATGATTAATATCCTTTACTTGTGATTGGATATACGAAGAAAAAGTACCCAAAAGTATTTAACAGTATCTAGCAGTTACTTCTGCGATTCTGTAAAGATTCTTGAAAATGGAAACATACATATAAAAAAGGGAATGTGAGAGGATTTTCTTGACAATTTGAAGTGTCTCAACGAGTCCAAAAAGCAAATCTACAAAAAAACCATATTACGAAACATATTCAGTGAATTTCAACACAGCGACATTAAGCGCCAGGCATACGTTTTTAGATTTCGTATGAAACAAGCTCCTAAAGTATGTATTTCACTATAAAACCTGGATAAAAATGGAAATATGACTACTAGTATTTTACAGACTTAACTGATAATAATGATACACAATAAAAAAAATCCATTACTCTTAAATATCCTAAACGTGGAGAAGTTATTGTTACCAGTAGTCTGTTTTGTACGAGTGACGTAAACGCAGAGAAAATCTAAGATGCAAGAATCGAAACTTACCTGATTTCAAATAGCACCAAAGTTCCTTTGGTAATGCCTCTTCCAGAATTGAAAAAAACGTTATATTTTGTGCTTCCACAAACTTTTGTCTTCTCTGTGAATAAGAATTTATGAATCACACGAACATATTAAAAATTTGCAGTAAACAAATAAACTTAAGTGATAAATATTTTATTATCCATATAAGTATCGGTTCAACTTGCCACATTAGCACAGAAAAAAACTTCATGACAAATCTCAGAGTAGCAGTAGTAACAGTATCGATAATAATAAAAATGGAAATTTATAGGGTGACATCGGAACTAGATTCTGAAAGAAAACAAGAAATAAATGTCCTTCCTTCATTAAGAACTATTTTGAACCATGAGATTTAAAGGCCCTAACAATTAGTTGCAATAACCACGCGACCCCTAACCATGTAGTCTACAACCACTTACATGGCTCAGTCCAACTTTTAACGACTTAGGACATTGGTATTTTGTCTTAATTTGACGGCCCATAGCGTTCTTCTGATATGTTCTTACTCCTAAATAGGAAAACAAAGGAAGGTGATGGTTTGGGGAAAGAAATACATGTCTCTACCAACTTGGTGGATGAAGATTCACTACTTCATTAATCAACTTGCCATCTTTATCCGCAACCTCGGGATTGTTTACTTGGCGGTACCAGAATCTTTCAAAAATACCTATGACCAAATGCCAGTAACATACGGATATCCTCTATCCATAATGGTTAAGTTTCACACAAACAAAGTGGGACAGAGTGAACTGCTGAGCAATAAACTCGTCCTTTGGCTGGCAGACAAAGATCTCACCTACGCCACAAGTGACGCCAGTTGGCAAAAACCAATCGAGCCCTATAAATACATAACGAGATTTCATCATACACCAAGCCATTACGACTGATATGACTCCCAAGATAATTGAAGCGATCGATATGTTTAACTACTTCACTCTCCATAAATAATACAGGCGCTGGTGTAGACCAGTCCTAAAGCAACATTTTGGATTTGAATAGAAAAACACATCCGAAATATACTTGGATTGCTGCTTAAGGTCAGGAGACCTCGCAATTTTTCAGTATCTTTATGAAACGGAACTATGCCATCTCAGTATCCCAAGTCAACAAATGAATCCCTTTGTAGATCAACTCCCGAAAAGTCAGACGATAAGAGCATTATCGCTAAAAGGTTGTCTATGACAAAGTTAAATAAAAATATCGAAAGTGGATAGCCCCGAATAAAACCGCTTGAGATTGACAATTCCATATGTGCTGACTAGATTAGTAGTATTATTATTTGAAAACATAAACATTGGTACAAGGGGGCACCGAATACATACTCGCCAAACAATAACAGTGAGGTTGTGAAGCGATAGAGAATGTAGAGCGCATATAGTAAAAGAAGAACAACGAACGGAAACTAGTGTGTAAGAATGAAATTATTATTATAATGGGAGAAACAGTTCGTTTAAGATACAACCACAGAGAATGCTTTCAGTTAAAGAAGTTACGTTCACTAACATAAAGAAAAAAAACTGCAGCAGGATCGCCACTGGCTTCTATTCTGAACCATATCTAATAAAGTCGCTAGCCGCTGCGTTGCACCATCTCTAGGACCCCAACCAAAGAGTCGTGAAGGACTAACAGGCGCCAATCCTGTATACTTCCCTTCATACCACGACACCATGTCATACACTGGCCACCTATCCGCTTTTTCCAACCAGTCCCACCGTCGGCGAATGATGCACGACGTGGAATCCTCTGGGACGACAGTCGTAGAAAATGTCCAAGCCACCGAAGTGACACCGAATGGATGGTTGTCACTGTGCTCGAACACACGATGCCGAACCTCTGCATTACTAACATGGTATGCAACTGGATGTCAGCAATCCTTCGGGGACAACGATGATCAAACACAGAGAGTCGTCTAACATCCTCAACTCGGCGAGGCCAGGTTTCACAAGCATAGAACAAAACCGCTCTCACCGACGCGCTGTAGATCCGACGTTTTACAGCCAGACTAACATCACGAAGACGCCGAAGATGGCCCAGATTGGTATAGGCCGCTCTGGCTTTCACTATACGCCTGCGCTAGCACTTACCCAGTAATTCAGATACATGAACTTCTCGACTACTTCTATCCGCTCACTAACCAGGGTGAGTGCAGGTTCAGGGTCCTGCCAGTCTTGTAGAAGTACTTTGCACTTCGAAGATGCAAACAACATACCATACTTACTGGCACCGATTGCCAACTGATTAAGTGTGGATTGCATAGCTTGGACATTATCGCACAGTAACACAATATCATCCGCATACTCAAGGTCGAGAAGTCTTTCTCCAGGCAACAGATCCACACTACCATTACTTACATCCATCAGAGCTGTTTCCAGAACGTCGTGGAAAGCAAAGTTGAGAAGAAATGGTGATATTCGACCAGGAGTGTTCAAGTAGAGTCTGTACAGGGTTAATGTACTTATTTGGTAACCTCTTGCAATGACAGATACTGCTGCAGAACCTCACAATCAGAGTGAATAATAGTCCCATATTTTTTTGAGAAAGTTTTACCAGCAGCCAGATTTTTGATGCATGTTTCCATTATAAATATGAATAGTAGTGTATTGTTTCTTATCGCCGCTACTTTTTCGCTTTTCATACCCACTACTGCTCACGATCATTGAGTAGGTTTTTTATCGCCTATGTTTAGGCTACATTCGCTACTCATCATGTTCCGATGAGTTTCTGAGCATCTATCAGTTCAGAAAACGCCGCTGAAACCCACTGATTTTTTTAAACCTTTTGGTTCAAGTTACCGCTAGATAACACTGGTGTTTGGATTCCATGCCGAGCCACCTCGCGTTGGATATCGATTTCATGGTTGACTAACTTCTTCTTAAGTTGTTACTGAGATACATTCTTCACTTTTTCGCCATTAAATGGAAATCTAAGGAGTTTTGTTTCCGTGTTTAATAAGATTCAGACAAATACGTGCTCGCGCATTAAATCGTGATCTGAGTTTAAACATATGTTCCAGAATGAGTGAATCTTTAATCGACCCTCTTCACCGATGACTGATGGAAATATGGTTTGAGTTCATCGTTAAGTCGATTGAAGGGGTCCCCATGTCAGACGATGTTTTTCCTTCTGCTTAAAGTTACTGCTCCCTAAAAATAAACGGTTATACGAGCATAGTTGCAGCAGTCTTTTAGGTGGGCCGCGGTGTTGTAAGGTCCATCAAAGTACCTTTCGGTCTTATTCAAACTACTTACTTGCGCATCAAAATCACTTATTTCTATTACTGTATACGGGCATTTAGCCTTTTGAAAGTTGCACGTTTCCTATAAAATTCATCGTTTGCTTCAACCAAATAAAAAGAATTGGGAGCACAGGCAAAAGCAACGGTGTGTATCCACATCTTTCTGAATTTGTATTATCCAGTCTGGTCGGACAGCGCACGAGCCATTGTCTATAAAAATCCATTACAAGAGACCCTATCTTATTTTTTAATCGAATGCAATACCTACACCAACGAGACCATGGGAAGTAGCAGTGGGGACTGCAAATACACAGAAGATGAATAGCATTGGCCTTTTTATTTGAATGAGTGACTGCACTTGGATCCATCATGGACGTTTCGGATACGCCACATACATCGATGGCACGAGATTCTAGAGTCCCAGCTAAGGAGGCCTGTTGTCGTTGGACGTTGAAAGCTTCAACACGTGGTTTCATGGAACCAGAAATAACATTTCGTGAACTAGAATCATTAGCACTGGTGACGCATGGCGATAGCGATATGCATGTTGGGATGGCGATAAGGATAGGAAAAATATTAAGAGGCGAGAGAGGGATTTGATTATCAACAAGATTATCTCTGGTGTTGTCGGATGTTGTTCAGACTGCGAAAAGATATTTCTCGTTGAGGGACCTGAAAGTAAACCGGGTAACAGCCTTAGTGATCTGGAAGAATAACCGTAGAGTATAAGGGACAACTGCTTGACGATGGTCACTCATAGACTTTTCATGAGAAGTTCTGATGTGTTAGCTCCGCACTTCGAAATCCTCTACTACCGGAGACAGAAATCCGAAGGGTGAGATGAGGTGTGAATTTCATATGACTGACCTTTTCTAACCCTCTCCTTTCTTTGTGAGAAGAGAGAATCGCTGGAGATGCTGGTTGTCGGAGGTAAACAGAAGTGAAGCACTTGTTAGCTGTATACTGGATAAGTAACAGAAAACAAGCTTGAGTATATTCCTTGGAGCAGCTAGCTACAAAATCAAATACATCTACAACAAAAACGTTCTATTAACGGGGCAATATTTAAAGTACATTAAACAAATTAGTACATATCTAAGGTATTTAGAAATGCACCAAATAAAAGGGCATGTGATTATGAAAATATAAAAGGTAGTACTACGCATTGAAACAAATGAAATAATTACATAACGGTGATTTTTAGGAAACATTACTATTTTATTACTTGTAGATAAGAGAAAATACAATGAAAATTCGATATAAGAATTATCCCTTTATTTTTTACAAAGTTAGACGAACATTACAATGGTGTTAATGATGTTTAAGCTGAGCTTACTTTACTAAGAATTTTTCCGTATAGAGATTGAATACATTCAGCACACCCTCACTCCTTTATATGATCATTTAAATGGAACATGCACTGCATGAAATGCATGAAGGTAAATCAATAACTGAATCACTCGATTTCTAACTACTGGGTTGCGAGTTCTAGCCGAGCTGTTTACATTAGTTTGAATAGCTAAGTAATGTTATTACTACTGAAAAAATGTGCGACATAAAGTCCATTACACGAATATTTACTTGATTACTTAGTTAAAATGGTTACGTTCTGTGTTTTCTGAAGCCATTAGATGATATTTTATCGACCTCATAAGCTCTTACTCATTACTGTGGAATTTTACACTAGCGGGGATTTAGATGAGCGAAAACATATTGAAACAATTTCTGAAGTAGTCACGAAGTTCATATTCATTGCACACTGAGTTTTATGGAACTCAAAGACTTCTGGGCAACCTCCAAATTACGTATTGACGGATGATAAACATTTGGTGACTACTAAAATCTTTGTAATGACAAAAGTGCTTGCCTGGCATATGTCACCTGTATCGCAGGCGAAATGTTTTTTTGTTAACCAATTTGTGAGTATATGGTGCAATAGTACAGGGTTTCACAAGGATATTATTAAATTCATTATTCTCGTCAAAAGAGGAAAACAGGGTCATATACAGAAAATTCCCAAGACATTAGAACATATCTCTTGGTGAAAATGACTCTGATAAACGATATAATACGTTTACTAATATATTTCAGTCAGAAATGTTCAGAAAATTAGTGTCCAATTTATGTCTTGGGTTTAATGGAAAAAACAATTCAAAATAGGTATATGCATACTGACAGGTTTGGTGTCAAAATCGAAAATGTCATTAAAAACAATAATGGTTAGTTATTTTATCCTTAATTAAACCTTATCTCAATTGTTACTTAAGAGTGTATTTTAATGAGATCTCATGCTACCCTTCCTAATTAAAACTTCAATAACACAAAACCAGCAAGTGTTTAAATAAAAAAACCTCATGTTACTAATTATAATTTCATACATATCTAAATGTAAGATCTGTAGTATACCAGTGCATAAATATGAATAAACAATTCAACTTTTGACCTTATATCAAACCACAAGCCCACAATTAGCACTTAAACAAAGTAGTATGTTCATAGTAGCAGTGCATCACTATCAGTTTAGTCCAATAAATAAACAGTCCAGAACTTTGGAAGGTGCTAACAATTATTTCGAATTAAAACACATTTCATGCATTATGGTGCAGTGAAACGTTGTTGACCACATATCTACTTATAGACTCATGAATCTTAAGGTTAAACAGTTGAGCAGCAAATGTGAATTCTTCTTACTAATACTTTTACCACAAAAGTATCATTCTTAATGGCGACTATTTAGAAAACAAAATAGGTCCGATTGGTTTAATCTATGAGAATATATGGAAAAGGTAGATGACCTACTTTGTTAAAAATTTATTTATGACCTCATACTGTTGAAACTAAGAATTACATTAGCCAATCTATAACCCTTCTCTTAGTGACGGCTAGATTCCAAAGACGGATTACAACACATTGTACATTAGTTATAAGTCAAATATTTTCTGGCTGTGAATGTTAAGAAATAAACTACGTTTAAAGAATTCGACCAGAATCAACTTAAGGTTTTTTTTATTTGAAGAGGTCTATTGGCTGATAAGAAATCAATCGTATATCATTACCCGAGAATGGCAGGAGGAGGAAATTATTTCGTAATCATTCAAAATACTTTATATATCAAGGGATGGTGGACCTAACTAAATAAAATAGAAAATAATAGAAAAGTTATTGTAAAAGGGTGTGATTTAGCCAACTAAATGCGTCACATACATGCTTTTCGATTTCAGTAAGTTTGACTAATTTTTGTAAATGAAGATCTAGAAAAGCTGAAAATGTACATACTTCATTATTAAGGAATGGCGAAATTAACTCAAGAAGCTTCTATTAGTCTAACTTTGATACTAATACAAAATCACAAATTTAATTATGAAACTATTTGCCTGCACATCCACTAAATTGAGATAAATTATTTATAAAAGAATGAATTAATGAGTGACTTGGACAAATGTACATTGAATTAAATGACAAATGCACATAATGAGTCTACTTACCAAACGAAAATGATGTGAGATCATACTCTTTAAACTGAAACCCAAAGTTACAACGGGATAGCCAATGCTAGTGAGAAAGAACAATACATAAGATGATAAAACAATGACATAAAAATGGTGTATTTGACGACTGTGTATGGACAGGAAAACAATGAAGTGAGAATTAAAATTCTGATTTCAGCTACAAATAAGTATTGTACGTTTCGAAAAACGATTGTACAGAGCATTCCAGATAAATATTTTAGAAAGACGAATAGTCTGCTGTGAAGCATATTTTAAAACTTCGAATACATCAAGGAATAAGAGATTTGATCGCTGTTTGGTTAGATCAACATTCGGAGGTAAGTAGTAGTGATGAAAGTGATTGGATAGGCGCATTTTTAGATTCCAAAGAGATAGACAAACCAATGACTGAGACAGAGAATGACAAGTATAATCGAACCTCACGGCTCTTACTATTTCGAAAGGATTGACAATATCGATCTACACTTGTCGCTACTAAGCCAAAGCTAGTCAGTCATTAAAAGTCCCACTAAAGCTACCGAATAAGGATATAAGAAATTTGAAATTCATGAGTTCTCCAGAAAAAATTCGCGGTAAATGATGCACTGTTGTTTGGATAGATCTGAAGCACTGGTTGCAAATGTTAGGATCATTGGGTGAGCAACGTTGAGTTTAAATTCAAGATGATAAGAAAGAATGGAAAGTCAGTTAGTGAGGTAGTGGAAGTTTATCAACTGAGCTAGTTAAGTATGTACTAAGTGTCCAACCAATGTCTAACATCAACACACAATATTTGTCGATGTAGGAATACGTTGGAGAAAGCCAAGAGCGACCAAAATGTAGCATGAGTCTATTGAGTCATTCGATGTTGGGTTGGGCCTAGTAAGTAGATGCATACCACTTCGTTAGGGTCCGTATGACGATTACGATTGGTAGTTGAAAACATTCGGTGACATGGCTCAGGGTTGACAGCAATGACACAAAATTATTCAACCCTTTTCTTCCTCTAGATTTTTAGTTTTAAAATTATCTTATACTTCCTATTCCGCTAATTCGTTCATTCTTCCAGAATTATATTGTCTATACTTATTTTATTCGATTGATACTATGACTGAATGTATTGATAATTTCATTTCACTGTGTGTGGTAATTTGAACTGATGCACATATGTGCCCGGTTCTACGTTGTATGACTGACCGACTGGTTTGAATAGAATACATCGTTAGCAACAAACCTTCATTACAACTATTAGTAAAGTAGAAAATGATCATATCTAAAATTATGGTTGATTCAAACAAATATTGAGTATTCTAGAATCTAGCGTATACATTAAAATGTTAAAATCAGAAAAAAAACAAGTAACATATGGTACAAGCTGATCATAACACAAGCTGTTTAAATAAGAGATGGAAAATAGATCACTAGCGACGGGAAATGACAAACACCAAAAACAGAAAATATCATTGAAACTGTCACTCATGTCCATGTGGTTTCTAAATGCTTTTGTTGGGAAGTAGCGAAAAATTTAAAAATAACACAAATTACTTCGTTATATGTTACACAACACCCCACTCACCCCCACACACACAATGGTCCCCATATTAGACTACGTAGCTTTTTTTACGACATCAGTGGTACGGGAATACTGATTACCAAAGCATGAGAGTAGGTTGTCTATCTGGCTATTGATCTTCGGTAGATGTGATATTAGTTTGAAAATTACATTTGGTATAAAGCCTAGTAACAAATCGAATCTCATACAGTAAATATGATTTTCAGCGCTTCCGTGACAAAAAGCTGCTTCGACGAGAAAACACTAGAAGACCAAAGGTAGAAACTACGTATATACAATCTATCCTAGTTATTTAGAATGATTTACAATTATACCACTCGTAAATGTATCAACTAAACACAGCGATTTTCACACGGCTTTTGGTTACATGTTTTTTTGTGAGAAGTAATATTACTCGGGTGCCGAACTCATGTGGCAAAGTGTTCGGTTCTAGAACTTACAGAGAGATAACTTGTTTGTTCCAAAATCCCTAGCATAAACAACCAAAGAACTTGGATTACGTCATCTCTTGATAGTAATTTATATCTTCTATGAGTGCATATGCTTTATTGATTGAGGAGGGTTTAAATACTACACAGAAAAGCTGTTAAATATCTCTACTAAACATAACTATATGAAAAGGTAACTCATCTAAGCAAAGTTTATCAACTTACCAATGAGCTGCAAAAGGTCTGCAGAGATCTATACCCAGCGGCTGGCTTTTTGGATCACGGAATCTTACAGCTACCTCGACATAGAAGAATAAAAAACATAATGCGACTGTTGGGATATACACACCACGATCTGAAATGGAAGAACGATATTTTTTAAAAGATATATAGCAAGTGTGTAAATACATAGCTAAAAAGTCAAACATTTAAAGTCATACTTAATGGGTAAATATAAGTCAGAACTATAAATATATGTTTAGCAGACATGCTATATTCCTTGAGATTGCTCAGTCGAACGTCTTGGTGTTCCATAGAAAGTGTTAATAATCGGTGAAGTCATGAGTGTCGTCCACTAGCGGGCTTGCCATAAGAAAAAATGTTAAATTAATACGGATATTCCTATATTCACAAACAGTCTTGTAGGCTATCATAACAACAGAAAACAATCGTTAATTTTTAGAACTGAACAATCACTCAAATTTATGTATTTTATATCTTTCTATATACTAAATGCATAATTGTTCTATTAATTTTGACTTGTTTCCCATGTTTCTGTCTATACAATTTTGTTCTGTTGGCTGGTCTGTGTACGCTAGTTCAAATGTTATCAGCATGTGTATTTTATTAACATATAATGATGACTTTATCGATAAGTTATTACGAAAAATAGGAGATAAAATATAATTGTGAAAGAGATTTAATTTGTGGTTACATCTTTTCCATCACCTTCTTACTTTAAAAATCAATATTTAGATGTAATGTTTTAATTTTATCAAGTAGGTCAAAATATTAAAACTTTTACACTAACAATTTAATCAGCCTTAGGATTATTAAAATTACGGACAAACAATATTAAACTGTTTGTTTCCGTTGACACGAAAATAATCGCTCGAATAGCAAACATCATATTAGTCAAACAGAATTAACTTGATAGGCGTAATATCAAGTACTGTTAAATGGCAACTATCCTTGGTGTTAGCTTATCATTTGAGGCATCGGTTCCTACGATGTTTGTAGGTTAGTAAGTCCATCCATCCATGTTGCACACCACATTAACACAGGATGAACACCAAATTCATAGAAGCAGTTATTTCAATGGTAGTAAATAAGAGATTTCATATAAGCATATGATACAGGGAGAAAGAATTAGTTCCTAGGAAGAGATATAAAGGTATTTTTATCTTAGGGTTTAAATGAAGGCAAAAAGTGTATACACCTACGCTATTGTGATCGATTCTCAGTCATGTCATTGTTACGATAGTCACGTGCATCCCAACCAAGTAGTCTGCATCTATCAACATGGTTCAGACTAGAAGTTAGTGGCTTTATGAACTGATGCCACATTTTGGTTTGGCCGCCCCTAACTTTCTTCCAACCATTCCCAACACCGGTTAGCATTGCACGTCGTGGTAATCGGTGTTCAGGCATACGCAACACGTGGCCCAGTCATCTCAGTCGGCGAAAATTCACAACCTCATCAAATGATTTACCATCATTCCCTAATAACTTGCGTCTAACCTCACTACCACTTACTCGGTGTTCCCGGCAGATGCGAGCAATATTTCTATAACGCATCTGTGGTCAAATATTAGTAGCTTACGAGTATCCTCTACTCTTAATAGCCACGTTTCGCAGTCGTAAAGTAGAACAGAACGAACTCCTGTGCAGTATACTCTTCCCTTGATTGGTAAACAGATATATCACCTTCGCTATAGGTGATGTAAGTTGGCAAAAGTCAAACGAACTTTCTGAATCCGTGCAGAGATTTCGTCAGACACCAACTCATTAAGGCTGACCAGACTTCCAAGATAAGTGAAGTTGTCACTCCCTATTCTTAGTTCAGGTGTCCACTCAGGCCAGTCCTGAAGCAACAATTTACATTTAGAGAAAAAGAAACGTATCCAAAACATCTTAGCACTGTTGCTCAATGCTACCAAAAGACTGCATTTTATCAGCGTCATCACCAAACACGAATATTTCATATGTGTATTCCAAGTCAATAAATGGACCTCCTGGTAGGGGACCAATTCTCGAAAATTCAGTCGACGAGAACGTCAATTCCAGTAGTAGGTCCATGATGAAATCGAACAAAAATGGAGATAGTGGGCCAGCCTAGTTTTCTCGTGTTTGCAGTTCATGAGTCTTTGTTAGGCACCTGATAATTATTGATGCTAGTATTTCAGACGCTATATTAGTTAAACTTATCCCTCTACAGTCATCACAGGAAGATTTTGATCTTTTCTTATATGTTGGGACGATCAGTGATTGGTACCAGTTAGATGGGATTACATCCAGATCCCAGATTTTAGCTAAAATATTAGTCAAACCAATCGCTAAAACTGGACCACCATACTTAAAGACTTCTGCAGTTAATCCATCTGGACCGGCTGCTCTTCCTTGTTTCAGATTACCTATAGCACTTTGGACTTCAATTAGAGTCGAGGGGTCCATTTCAATGTTCCATTCAGACTGTTTGGGAATGATGGGTAGTTGTACAGTAGCTGAACTGATCCTTAAAGTGCTCCGCCCATCGTTCTAAACGTCTAGACTGAGAGCAGCTAAGAGTGCCATCTTTTTCCTGGATTGCCTCACATTTAAATTCTTAATTCCGGTTTCTTTTATTAGTCTGAAAAGCTGTCTTGTGTTACCTACAGCCGCTACCTTTTCATTCTCTTTTGCTTTCGTTGCCAACTACTCCTCACGATCGTTCCGTAGACTTTTGGTTAGTCAGTCAGTCACAACGTAGGACCAGGCACATATATGCATCGGTCTTAGATTTGATTTATTTCCGCTCATCATCATTTTTGGAGCCTGAATGGATAAGTTCACGAGTCTATCAATGCAATAAATATCGCAGAAACCCACTGGTTTTTCGTAACTCTGGTTCAAATCACTAATAGATGTCACTGTTGTACGTATATCTTTCCAAGTAACATCTAGGTCAGCCTCGCTTTCTAAATGGCCTAAGTGTGACTTCATTTGTTTCTGGAATTTACCTTTGGCTTTCTCATTGTTGAGTTCAATTTTAATGGGTATTCTTGATAGCGGATTTCGCCTGGAACCCCTCTGGGACTGCTCCCGGTCCCAAGCCCGGATAAAGGAGGAGGGTTGGACATGGGATTAGCGACCTCATCCCGCAGGGAACTAACTCGTTAAAAATACGCTAACCAGAAAAAGTTATTTAAACCACTTCAACTCTGCCCCGTGAATCAGGTCTTCGTTTAAAAGAGTTATAACGCCTCATAGTGAACCCCGAGTTCCTTCGAGAGCCACGAGGCCGATGCCCCTTCTAACAACCAGAGCAACCATTTATTTAGGTACAATGTGGGAGACCGGGAGGGTCTTACAAATTGCTTCAGAAACGAGGAGATACAACATAGAGGTGCTTGGGATCAGTGAAACACATTGGACGCAAGTTGGACAACAACGACTAGCTTCAGGAGAGCTTCTGTTATAATCTGGCCATTAAGAAAATACCCCACATACACAAGGACTTGCAATGATGATATTAAAACAAGCACAAAATGCACTTATAGGATGGGAATCTCATGGACCAAGGATCATTAGAGCCTCTTTCAAAACAAAGAATGAGGGCATTTCAATGAACGTCATCTAATGCCATGCGCCTACCAACGACTACAATGAAGATGTCAAAGATCAATTGTACGATAGGCTGCAGTTAATCGTCGAGAAGTGCCCAACAAAGGACTTGACGATTCTGATGGGAGACCTAAATGCCAAGGTTGGAATGGACGACACCGGATATGGACACTGACATGGACTAAGAGAAACGAAAATGATGAGAGAATTGCAAACTTATGTGCCTTCAATAAACTGGTCACAGGGGGCACTGTATTCCTACACAAACGTGTACACAAAACCACATGGACTTTACCAGATCACACTACGCAGAACCAAATCGACCAAATCTGCATCAACAAAAAGGTCCTGGGTCACAAGAAGCACCATCACAAGGAATGGATCACTTTTGATACACTGGATAAGATTCAAGAAAGGAGTAACAAGAAGGCAGCAATCAATACCAGACGAACAAAAGCAGAGAAAGCCAAGGCACCAGCTGAATACACAGAAGCAAACAAGCAGGTGAAGAGGAGCATCTGAACCGACAAACGTAAATATGTGGAGGATTTAGCAATGACGGCGGAAAAGGCTGCAAGTGAAGGAAACATGAGACAATTGTATGACACAACAAAGAAACTCGCTGGAAAGTAGCGTAAAAAAGAACGACCAGTTAAAAGTAAGGAAGGCAAGGTAATCACCAACATTGAAGAACAACGAAACAGGTGAATAGAACACTTCAAAGAACTCTTGAATCGACCAGCGCCACTGAACCCACCCAACATCGAAGCAGCACCCATGGACCTCCTAATCAATGTTGGTCGAGACAACATTCCAGCAGAGGCACTGAAAGCAGATGTAGCAGTTAACTGCAAAGATACTCCACATTCGCTTCGTCAAGATTCGGGATGAATAACAAGTACCAACAGACTGGAATGAAGGAAACCTGATACCAAAGAAAGGCGAGCTCAGCAAGTGTGATAACTACAGGGGCATCACTCTTCTCTCAATACCGGGAAAAGTCTTCAACAGGGTATTGTTAAACAGGATGAAGGACTGCGTAGACGCCCAACTTCGTGGCCAACAGGCAGGATTCCGTAAGGATAGATCGTGTACAGACCAAATCGCAACTCTACGGATTATTGTGGGACAATCAATTGAATTGAATTCATTAACTTCATTGACTACGAGAAAATATTTGATAGCGTTGGCAGGGCAACACTATGGAAACTTCTTCGATACTACGGCGTGCCTCAGAAGATAGTCAATATCATACAGGATTCCTATGATGGATTAAACTGCAAAATCGTGCATGGAAGACAGTTGACAAAGTCGTTCGAAGTGAAGACCGGTGTTAGGCAAGGTTGCTTACTCTCACCCTTTCTCTTTCTTCTGGTGATCGACTGGATCATGAAGACATCAACATCTGAAGGGAAGCACGGGATACAATGGACATCTAGGATGCAGTTGGACGATCTAGACTTCGCAGATGATCTAGCCATTCTATCCCAAACGCAACAACAAATGCAGAAGACGAACAGTGTGGCAGCAGCCTCAGCAGCAGTAGGTCTCAATATACACAAAGGGAAAAGCAAGATTCTCCCATACAACACACCATGCACCAATCCAATGACAATTGACGGAGAAGATTTGAAAGATGTAAAAACCTTTACATATTTGGGCAGCATCGTTGATGAACAGGGTGGATCTGATGCAGAGGTGAAGGCGCGGATCGGCAAAGCAAGAGCAGCATATTTACAACTGAGGAACATCTGGAACTCAAAGCAACTGTCGACCAACACCAAGTTCAGGATTTCCAATACAAACGTCAAGACAGTTCTACTGTATGGGGCAGAAACCTGGAGAACTACGAAAGCCATCATCCAGAAAATACAGGTGTTTATTAACAGTTGTCTATGCAAAATACTTCGGATCCGTTGGCCAGACACTATCAGCAACAACCTACTATGGGAGAGAACAAACTAGATCCCAGTGGAGGAAGAAAGCAGGAAGAAGCGCTGGAAGTGGATAGGATACATATTGAGGAAAGCACCCAACTGCGTCACAAGGCAAGCCCTCACATGAAATCCTCAAGGCTAAAAGAGGAGAGGAAGACTAAAGAACACATTACGTCGAGAAATGGAGACAGACGTGAGAAAAATGAACAAGAATTGGATGGAACTAGAAAAGAAGGCCCAGGAGAGAGTGAGTTGGAGAATGCTGGTCAGCGGCCTATGCTCAATTGGGAGTCTTGATAGCGACTTTTCTACGTCCAGTGGGGTGCAAGCAAATGTTTGATTTTATTAGCGCATGATCATGGTCTAAAAATGTATTCCAGAACGAGCAGCAGTCTCCTACTGAGACTCTCCAACGACGACTGGTGGCAATATGGTCTATTTTAGTCCTTATGCTTAAGGTTAGTGCTTGTTGGAAATAAACGATCATTAGGGCACAGTTGCAGCAGACGGACAACATTATCTGTTGGCTGAACCGAAGTACCAAACTGTCAACCTAAATGCTTTTCTGTTTGCTTTAAGCTGCCTACTTCTGCATTAAAGTCACGTTCTACGAGTATTATGACCACATTAAGATCCTGTATGCGTTTCGGAGACACCGCATACACTAATTGTACGAAATTCTAGGATCTTAGTCGAGAAGGCCTGCTGGCTGATTTGACATAGGGTACATACGTCGAAGGCTCCAATGGTTAGTTTGGAGCGAGGTTTCAGTAGGCCTGGGACAATATTTTGTGCACTAGGATCGTTGGCCATGTGATACTTGAGTAAGAAGTTCAGAGTTGATAGTCGAGATAGGAGGAATAATAAGAATTGAAGATGGAGATTGGTTGTGAATACAGTGATCTTGAGTGTTCTTAGGGGTATGAGGGCAGTTACCACTTCCCGGTTGCCCACACCCTGGAAGGGTTCTTCTAGCAGTACTTGAAAAGGAATTAAGGATAGAGTTGGTCTTAGAGACCTGTGAGCGTGACCGCAGTGCCTAAAGGACAAATGCTCGAGACCAGTCACACACGACCTTTCAGTGGGTAATTTTTGTGTTAGCTCCGTAATTGTTGAAACCTTACATTAATAAACGCAACTATTATGCACATCTACAGAATACTTTACGGCTAAGGTGACGAAAGTAAACAAAATGAATCACCGTGCTTAATAATGAAATTAATAGTACACCAAGTAGAGGAATTTTTTAAAAAGCAGTAGAATTTACTGATAACAGCAGCCATCTATGTAAAAAACAAGCAAATGGGTGTATAAGTAGGTGATGCATAGAAAACACTATTTCTAGACATCCCGTCACCCCATTACTACTAGCCCTCAAACCGCACTTCACATTTTCTGGTCCATATATAAATGATTGATAGCTCCAATGCTACTCTAGGCGAGACAAGATCACGACAATAAGATTTGATTTTCTTTTGAAAAAATACTTTGTAGAAATCGTTACGGGGAGAAGATAAAGTCAACGGTATTACAAAAGGAAAAGTCATAATGCAAATTTGAATCAAAAAGTACGGTGTTATTCAAGAGGTATCAACACTAATAATTTGAGAGTACGCTTCAAACAAAAACCCAGGACCATATACTGCTGCAATTCCACAGACTAGTATTTGAACATGAATTGCGACCATAATTACATGATAACTATGACCTTTCTAGGGATTAGTGTTTGACTTATTTTTGGGGTCAAGCCCTAGAGCACTTTGAAAGGTCAACAGATGACAATAAAGATTATTTTGACACAAAAATATTGTGTTCTCGGAGTGTTTCTTAAACTCAAAAACAAAATGAAAGGAACTAATTAACCTCTTGGAACACATAACGATGTAAACAAAGAACAGGTTAAATTGGGGTAAAATATCATAGTGTACGAAGTGTTGAGAAATACTATGACTAACACTGAGTTATGTCATCTAATGTTAAAAGCCCCCCTCCTAAAAGAAATAAACAACGTAAAATGTGTGGTAACGAACTGCAAGAGAAATAGAGGTTAAAAGGGAAAAGTGAATATCAAAGAACACACCCATATAGAAAGTAGAGTCGAAATACTCAACAATTCTTACAAATGTTGTAAACTGAAATGAAAAACTACCAAGAATTTAGTAGAAATAAGTATTGAAAGATTTGAAGTGTGCAATAGCCGGTTGCATTTCTGGGTAAAACTTAACTTTGAGAACTATCAAGTACTTAATATATGGATTTATTATTTTTTATTATTAGACAGAAATACAAAAAGACTCACCTGTTTGCCATAACAGATGTATCCATACACATGAACTACCAAGCAGGTAGATCAATGTAGTAGGTACAAGGAAGTAACAAAGCAAATCAGCCATGATTGCAGTGAATGTAAAGAACAGAGCAAATGCCTAGAATGTATAAAAATGATGATTTTTGATTATAAAAACCTAAATAAGGAACGAAGTCTTCAAGAAATTACCATTATTAGTAATGCAGCCAGTTTCTATTACATTTTTCGATTTTTAGCTGTGTTTAGCGAGTACTAAAAACCCTTGTTAACTTGGAACTTACACTCCACTAGTCAATTTTCTGAAGCTTACTCATCATAATCTGAACAAAATTTATCAAATGAACATTTGAGGGTCCCATGATTCACGAAATGTGTACCTTAGCTGGAGACTTGATATTGATTAGTTCCTGTCAGCTTCTGAAAAATATGCACTATACTATAAATATACACCATAAAAGTTTATTGAAAAAGTGGTATTTTAAAATATCCACTTGAAGCTCCGTATATGACATAATGATTAAGTAGGCTATCATCTCTTGTGTATCTGCCTATAAAGCAAATCAGAAGTCATTGTTTTGATGAGAATATCATAACGATCAGTAATTTTTTATTTCAAAACATAACAAACTATAGTTTTTCTTAAGATCTAGTTTAGAGTGGCCTTTACGAAGCCTACATAAAATACCCCCCAACGACGTAGAACAGTCGAGGGTGGAGTCAGCTCTCCCTCTCGAAATGCTCTCACATGACTACGCATACACAGCCACTATCAAGAAAGTCCTGCTCATCGCCTTCTCGTGACAGGGGTGTTGTCTACGAAACTGAGAGGATGAAAAGCGAATGTCCAGCGCTTTAACCGGGTTGGTGTACACAGAGGGTCCACCTATGGATGTTGGAAAACCTGATTCCAAACCAGTGAAGCACATGGGCTCCAGTATCCTGAGGGAAAATGGCGTACGAACCCATATTTTGTCGCCAGCTACTATGGGACTGCATCTCCTTACGTTGCTCCATTGCCTTAAGGATTAGATCTGTAGGTCAAAGGATTGGGGAATGACCCCCCAAGAAAACCACCTACTTCGATTTGGGCACCCTGGTAGTATTCCAGCCCCCATGCGTATCGAATGACTCGTGTGGCGCATACGTATTTGGTGTCTCCTCGTACTAATGTTTATGTTTGGATAAATAAATACATACATAAAGTACCCTGTAGTTAAAGTGATTGTAAATCACGTGTGTCTACTAATTGGACTAACAGAAGCGAATAGCTCTGCAAAATTCATATAATTATATCTTAAAATGACAAGTAATGTGATGAATCCCACAACAACTCCCTGAATAGATTTAATTCAAGTAGCCACATTCTTTGCCTTGATACAGATAACTTTTTAAAAATCTTGCTTAAGAAAAATAGTTTTGTTGGGAACGGTATATAAATACTCGCCATCCACTTCAAGATCACATTAGCAATCATACAGAAGTAGGGAGTGTTTTGCCGTTGGTTAGTGGAACCAGTTGAAGCTCCTCACAAATGCCTGGATCAACACATCTTAAATTTCACTATTTTTAAAACGAGGGTACCTATGAAAGTTGATTTGATAAACAGATCATATAGTCAATTTGGTCTCATATCGAGGAAACACAGACAAAGATTAGTGAGAAAAACTAAATTACTCGAAAACTACGGCTCCATTTCGGGGATGTACATAGTTTAGTATGAACCTGCACATGCTACTGAAAATATAGGGATTGGATTAGACCGTCACATTTGTAGGTGACTTGTTTATTATCCAAAGGTTTGTTCACCGAACGAAAAAGGACGTATATCTGTGATCCGTGGGAGAAAAACGATAAAAGGGAGCAATAGTAACATTGCAGTGATAATTGTTATTGATTATCTATGAGTTGGCAAAATGATGCGAAGCTAACAAACAACAGGATTTATGAACACAAAATTGGTTTGTACTTGTTTTCCTGAAGTAATTAGTTTACGAGATATTTAAAAATGCAGTCTATAATCTCTATATAAAAATTGGTGCAGGGAAACTTAGTCATCCCCCCTGAATTTTCAAACCAATCCATACAATGTACAATAATGGGATTTATTCGTTACGCAAATGACAGTTAATATTTACAAGACGAATCTTGAACGTTTTAGAGAAGAGATCCTTAAATAAATTGCCTCGAAGTTCTATATGTACTCTACATAAGAGACTGAGAAATATATAAACCCTAAATATATGGCTTTTGATTGACGTCAAACTCGACAATTAAAATACGGCATACCAATGTTTCCACGTTACGAAAATTAGTTTTCTAGTACTTGACTAGTGCATGAACAGCTCTTGAAATAAATTTACACAGTTGGGTTGAAAAATATTGGAAATTAATAAATGACTCGGACCAAACTAGAATGCTTACCAGACCCTGATATCTGAATGAATCATTAACTGTTCGTACCATTAGCCAACAAGACCAAATAAATTCAAAACGAAGATCCGTAAAAAAGTCCAGCATTATTATGCTTGCCCAAGCCAACAGAAGTTTAAAATAGGTTCCAAATCTAAAATTTCGGGAATCACGTTTACTATTACAGTACTCTTACTACACAGCACTACGATTTAAGTTATGGATTCTGATTTAAAGAAACAAAAAAATATTCAGCCCAACAGTAATACAATACGCTCTATTTATGAGCAGAAAAATAGTAAGCGGTTTCCTTAAAACTATAAGAGTAACAAAACCCAAACTCGAAGACTTCTGCTAATTAGGTACGCATTTTCACTAAATTAAATGTTTTGTATATTCAAATGGAAAATATTCATTAACGTCTGAATTCACGATATCAAAAGCAACATAGTTGTTCTTAGAACTGCGGTTTAGGAGTTGGTATTCTTGAAGCAAACAGTTTACAAACAGCACTGATCTTAAATGCGATATACCAGAAGTGATTTCCATCATGACACCATATGCATAATGCATGGAACTGTCTTAGTACCTAGTAAGACCATTCACGGAACCTGTTTAACGATAATCAATGAACGAAAGACAGAAACACCACACATTTGAATCATGACATATCAACTTTGTATTAATTATCGAGTAAACTTGTTTCGGATATTATAGTTTCCATTTCGTACTTAACATGACATTCATTATAACTTGTTAAACAAGTATACTTTATGACCGACTTTGATAAAGGATGAAGATAATGGTTAGCTATCCAACCCAACCAAGAACGGCAACAAAGACAAGTGCTAGAAATACGCCAGAAATACGCAAACAGCATGGTGAGTTTATAATTATTCGAAGCGGGAATACGATATTTATCTTCAGAGGTATATTTAGAAATCTTACAGGAGAATGTACTGGAATTTCTAGACAGAAACTAAATAATCTGTTTTTCACAATTTTAAAGCAGCAGTTATTCATACAACAGTTACTCGCGATTGGTATGCACATGAGTAATGGCTATACTCAAAAAAAGCATTCTTCTCTAGTACATAATGAGCTTTGATGAACGTGTCTGAATGCTGAGCTTTGATTGAAAGTCCATGAAATGAGAGACCTCATTGAGTAGTCCACGCCGCAAGACGTAAAAATTGCTTAATCCATATAGGTAACACACAGCTGAAGCTATAAACACACTGAGAACTGGTAAACGATTGCCAGACGAACATAACCGTTGATTAGCTTTTAGCTCGAAAGGGTAATAACGTACCTCACTCACGGCAAAGTATACGACAGTGAATGAATTTCAGCTACAAGCTTCTACAATAAGCAATACAAGTATTTTAGTTAATGAAACCTGACCATATATCCACTTTGACAGAGGCTCTTCCCAGCCATTAATAACATCAAAACTCCAGGATTCACTTCGATCGGCTTAATCATAGGAGTTTTTTATCTGATGTCTTACGTACATCGCCTCCCCCCTTGAATTAGAAAAAGGACTAGCAAACGGTTCGAAGCCCAGATATTTGTAGTGAATTTAGCGACGCTTTAAGGATTCACTAAATTATCGGTACTCTTTAAAATCATCTACAACTTGAACAAGTTCAGATCTGACACAACTTCAGAGGAGTACTCTGAAGCTAGTGCTACAGAATAGAAAAACGGATTACATGTTTTCTTCCAGATCTCTCGAACTAGTCGAACTTGAATCCCTTTAGTTTCTAGAACAGATCATGCAAGTTTCTGGGCTCTTCTAACCAGTACTTAATTATTTGGAACTAATATTTGCATCCGAGTCTACCAGCTTTGAGACTTTGAAAACTTACATAAAATGAAGCGATTCGTTCGATTTGTTTCTGCGATTGTTTCTTTTTATTCTTCCATGTTCATAATTCCGTCTTCGAATATACATTACTTGAGTCCAGACACATTTGACCAATTCTGACGGATTTTGAACCCCGCGCTTCTTTGTAATGGCTCGCTGAAAGCTATTCAACCATCATGTTGAGACTTTTGGAGACGAGTAATGAACACCGTCTCATTTTCCAATCGTCTTATAACAAATTTTGCAGACAACTTAACTAGACGTTCTCAGTCGATTGACAGATAAGGTGGATATGTTGGCAATTGAAACACTGGACATGTAAGAGAAAAATATAATAACCCATTGTGTCGCTGAATATGAAGAAGAGAGTTCAACGAATAAAGTTTTGGTTAGACGAAATCATTTACTTAAACTTTACATCCGTATTTATAGTTATATGGAAAATGCATGTGATGGATCGGCATAAGAAATACATGTCTCTACCAACTTGGTGGATGAAGATTCACTACTTCATTAATCAACTTGCCATCTTTATCCGCAACCTCGGGATTGTTTACTTGGCGGTACCAGAATCTTTCAAAAATACCTATGACCAAATGCCAGTAACATACGGATATCCTCTATCCATAATGGTTAAGTTTCACACAAACAAAGTGGGACAGAGTGAACTGCTGAGCAATAAACTCGTCCTTTGGCTGGCAGACAAAGATCTCACCTACGCCACAAGTGACGCCAGTTGGCAAAAACCAATCGAGCCCTATAAATACATAACGAGATTTCATCATACACCAAGCCATTACGACTGATATGACTCCCAAGATAATTGAAGCGATCGATATGTTTAACTACTTCACTCTCCATAAATAATACAGGCGCTGGTGTAGACCAGTCCTAAAGCAACATTTTGGATTTGAATAGAAAAACACATCCGAAATATACTTGGATTGCTGCTTAAGGTCAGGAGACCTCGCAATTTTTCAGTATCTTTATGAAACGGAACTATGCCATCTCAGTATCCCAAGTCAACAAATGAATCCCTTTGTAGATCAACTCCCGAAAAGTCAGACGATAAGAGCATTATCGCTAAAAGGTTGTCTATGACAAAGTTAAATAAAAATATCGAAAGTGGATAGCCCCGAATAAAACCGCTTGAGATTGACAATTCCATATGTGCTGACTAGATTAGTAGTATTATTATTTGAAAACATAAACATTGGTACAAGGGGGCACCGAATACATACTCGCCAAACAATAACAGTGAGGTTGTGAAGCGATAGAGAATGTAGAGCGCATATAGTAAAAGAAGAACAACGAACGGAAACTAGTGTGTAAGAATGAAATTATTATTATAATGGGAGAAACAGTTCGTTTAAGATACAACCACAGAGAATGCTTTCAGTTAAAGAAGTTACGTTCACTAACATAAAGAAAAAAAACTGCAGCAGGATCGCCACTGGCTTCTATTCTGAACCATATCTAATAAAGTCGCTAGCCGCTGCGTTGCACCATCTCTAGGACCCCAACCAAAGAGTCGTGAAGGACTAACAGGCGCCAATCCTGTATACTTCCCTTCATACCACGACACCATGTCATACACTGGCCACCTATCCGCTTTTTCCAACCAGTCCCACCGTCGGCGAATGATGCACGACGTGGAATCCTCTGGGACGACAGTCGTAGAAAATGTCCAAGCCACCGAAGTGACACCGAATGGATGGTTGTCACTGTGCTCGAACACACGATGCCGAACCTCTGCATTACTAACATGGTATGCAACTGGATGTCAGCAATCCTTCGGGGACAACGATGATCAAACACAGAGAGTCGTCTAACATCCTCAACTCGGCGAGGCCAGGTTTCACAAGCATAGAACAAAACCGCTCTCACCGACGCGCTGTAGATCCGACGTTTTACAGCCAGACTAACATCACGAAGACGCCGAAGATGGCCCAGATTGGTATAGGCCGCTCTGGCTTTCACTATACGCCTGCGCTAGCACTTACCCAGTAATTCAGATACATGAACTTCTCGACTACTTCTATCCGCTCACTAACCAGGGTGAGTGCAGGTTCAGGGTCCTGCCAGTCTTGTAGAAGTACTTTGCACTTCGAAGATGCAAACAACATACCATACTTACTGGCACCGATTGCCAACTGATTAAGTGTGGATTGCATAGCTTGGACATTATCGCACAGTAACACAATATCATCCGCATACTCAAGGTCGAGAAGTCTTTCTCCAGGCAACAGATCCACACTACCATTACTTACATCCATCAGAGCTGTTTCCAGAACGTCGTGGAAAGCAAAGTTGAGAAGGAATGGTGAGATTGGGCACCCCTGACTAACCCTACTGCTCAAATGGGACAATGGAGAAAGATGGTTGTATGCCCTCACTCTGCCTGATGTGTTTGTATATAGGCCGTTTAGGATGGTAATGAACTTCTCAGGCACACCCTTCTTCAATACACAATCCCAGAGAACAGTCCTGTCCAACGAATCGAAGGCAGCCCTGGTGTCAAGAAACACTACGATTATTGGCCTTTGATAAGTATGACGGTGTTCCAACATTTGGTGGAGGGTGAAGATATGATCAATACATCCTCTACCAGAACGAAACCCAGCCTGCTCCTCGCGAGTCAATCTTTCTCGGATCTTGAACAACCTACGAAGTATGACGGAAGCCAATAGCTTGGACGCAATCGGAAGTAGACTTATCCCCCGATAGTTATTACAGGAACGACGTGAACCCGTTTTAAAGATAGGGACAACTATCGACTCATTCCATGACGTTGGAAAACTCTCAGACCTTTGTAAACAACGTTGTCATTTCCTTGACCAGAAAGTCACCACCATCTTTAAAAGGAGCAAGAGGTAAGTCATCTAGTTTCGGTGATTTGTAGTGCTTCAAGAGTTGGAGTTCCTTTCGGACTTCCGCCTCATCCGTTGGATCATTCGTCACCGGCCATGGAGGGCAGGACAGTCTGACCGATGTTGCCGGAGCAGCAGGCCAGTTGAACTGCCCTTCGAAAAATTCTGCCCACCGTCCAAGACGTCGATGAATGTTAGTGATTGACATCCCATCATCCTCGCAGATTGTTTCGCTCACACCAGACGTTTTGCGACTGCCTCAGATGAGTTCAAAGAGTTCCTAGCAGCTTCCATGTGCAACTGCTGTTTTCAACTCATCAACACCCTCTGGCCATCAGGCTTCTCGGTCCATGCAAAATGTTTATCCAATTTCATCAAGTGACAGTTGTCTTTTGTGGTCAATCTCACGGTCACTCGAAGTAAAAAGACGGGATTTCATGAATTGTGAGGATTCAGAAGAAACCCAGTACTTGTAAGTGTGTCGCTTACGAAGACGAATTTGTTGGTCACTGAAAAGTAAATGAAGATTTGCGCGAGCATGGGCAAGATAAGAGTTCAGATAGGTGGAGTTTCCGTCTTGTACACAACCACACCTGCGGTAGCTGATCGCGATGTGGTCAATCTGAGTCCGGGTTCGCGACGCAGAAGGAAGACGTCACGTGGTACATAAGCGATGTTAACGCTAGCCAGAAGCAGGTTGTGGTCTGTGCACAGTTGCAGTAGACGGTCCCCGTTATCTGTCCTGCGACCAACAAGCCTGCATCGGCCGCCTAAACGACCCTCTAATCTGACTAGACGCCCGACCTGAGCATTCAAGTTTCCGGCTAGTAATACAATAGCTGTCGAACGCACCTTCTGGGGAAGAACAGTTAACCGAAAATAAAATTCATCCTTGATCGCATCTGGGCTGCAGTCTATCGTACCTCTAGACGTTATGTGGTGTGCAACGTTGTTGTTTACAACTGAAAGCACCGGTCGCGTTTTGTACATTTCTGGGTAATTTTTGAGTATCGTTTGAAAGTATAGGTCGATTGTATGTTTGACCATGGCTGGCGATAACATACACTCAGAGAGTTGTTCTGATGCTCTCCAGTAAGTACATAAAGAGCTTAAAAGACAGGGATATATTAAGAAAGCTTTTTTAAAAAAACCTCATAACTTCCTAATCGACAGACCTCAGTCATTTGGAATTACAAACCCACTATTGCGATGGGTCAAGAACAAATAACCAAAATTAAATCTACATCTACACCTCGACCAATATACAGGGGTATTGTGCAGGGTGGTGTTTTGGGTTCAATGCTTTTTACATCAAAAACATATGCAGGTGCTTTAACATAGGTAAGACATACCTTTTACGTTGATGACTTAAAAGTCATCTGTAAAACTCACATTTGCGTTGTACGAAGTAATATGTAAACAATCCTAAATAAACTCGACAATGTAGACAACTGGAGGTTGGCTCTCCTTAGTTTTTTTCCTGAAGTAGACAGGTAAATCAAATAAAATCGGTCGCTCATCGACGCTTACCACTACCCTTAAGAGTTCTCAAGATCCGTACAGCCACCCACCCACTCCAGTGGTCTTGCATCTGTAGGGCTCGTAACCCATCAACTGGCCAGGATAGCACAAAATAAGATCAGCACCAAGTTAATATGGGTTCCTTGTCTGTTCTTCATCAGCTTTTTACTCTCCTGCACACTCATTTGCCATCAATTTTATTTCATTACTCGTTGTCTTACATATATCTGACATATTCCTATACTTTTCCGTCTACTTCAGTAACACATTTATCCTGCATTGTGCCCTTCTTAATACCTATACTTTGATTGGCAACCCATACTTTATGCCATAGTCAATTAAAGCATTACATCAATACCTGACCTATGGTCCATAATTTGTAACTGCTTGATAAGCTCACAAAATCTTACTTATAGAAATTGTGCCTTTCAACAGTATGTGAAACACAAATATATCGTGTGGGATATAATATTTATTCAAAAATAAGCTTAAATGAGCTTAACATCACAAAAGGAGGGGTTGGAGTTACTGACAAGCATGCATCAAAGGTGAGAGCGATGACTTCAGTCCACTCGTATTTGTAAGGCAAAACATTTTATTCGTATCAGACTCTTTATAATTTGGAACAAGTCAATCAATCTGTGATATTGAGGTTGTTCCACTACGCTCACCACTGAGACTCAAGTTTCCAATTTTTGATGGATTGACAATTCTACTAAGACAACCTATGACATTTACACTAGAACTGTGCTGCTGGCA